GAGAGAGGATGTAATTAAAGAGAAAGAAGATTGGGCTAGCCCACCGTAGCCCACCTTAGTAGTGTTTCTTATTTTAATTTATTGCGTTTACATAACAGTATTTTGTCCTAGGAAAGCTACAGAATTGTTACTGGATCCCTGAAACCAACCCCTATGGATATAATCTCTTACCTAGCAGGTGTTGCATCAGAGTGACCTATTGAGGGAAGTGGCAGCTGAGAACAAAAGACTCAAAGCCTCTACCTCAAAAGGTGCTTCCACTTTTTGGCTCTTCCCCTTCCCCTCCCCGATTAAAATTGAGGAAATGTTCTTCACGACCTCTGTGACTTCTGTAGAAATAGCAGAGGATGCCAGGGCTATAATGTGGAAGGAAAGAACAATGCTTAAAATGGGTAGAACCTCGGGGAAACGTCTAGCCCTCAGTCACACAGAGAACTGGGTTACCTGGAAGTCACTTATAGCCGGCTACAGAAAGGAGTGGGAAGAAGAAACCGAGTGAATCTAAGAAAAGGGGGCTTTTGCGCCCACATTTATAGAGGAACCGGCCTCTTCGCACCTTGGTCAGCATCCTCAAGGCCCCTCAACGTGTATTGATGAAAGATTTAATGCTGGCTGCCTCAGATCTTCTTGATGTTGCCTGTTAATGGGGGGGGGGGAACGATCTGATAAAGCTCTTCATGGTTCTGTGTTGCTTCTGGCCCAAAGAAAGAAAGATCTGGGGGTTTCATGCTTCAGTCCTGCTTCCAGAGAGAGGCCGGTACTATAATGCTTTCAGTCCGCAGTCCTCTCCAATGAAGTCTCCATTCCCAAAGGCATTAACCTGGAATTAAAGGCTGCCGAACTCAGTGGAGCTTACTTCTGAGCCACCAAGAACAAGAAGATACTGGGAATTCGCCAGATTTTGCAGGATGAGCAGGAACATGTTAGAATGATGGATCACACCACTCTATACTGCTGCTCAATAGGCCTCCTTCTCAACTGTGCACGTGCCACAGCACCCCTCCCCTACTGGCTAACACACGCCCCCTCTGTGGGGAAGAGGAGCGCATGCGGAGGGAGCGCCGTGGGTGGGCTTGGAGGGCAGCTTGTCAGTCAAACTATGGGGAAGAAAGGGGGTGGGGGAAACGGGGTTCTTGCTCAGCAAGCCTTCCAGAGGGTCTTCCGCCCGGAGACAGGTGATGTGGAAGGAGGAGCGGGCTCTCATTGGTCCTTCCATTGTCTTCTGGGTGGAGCCAGAACCTCTCCCCTGCCCGTCGCCGGGTTGCCAGGCAACCCCCTCATGGACGGCATAATAAGGCATTGGGACACCCAAGGAAAGATGGTCTCGAGGGCTTCCGCCCAGCAACGGGTGATGCGCAAGAGGAGCGAGCTCTCATTGGGCCTCCGTTGTTCTTCCCTGAGCGGAGCCAGGGGCTGCAGTCTCTCCCCCCCCCCCTTCAGCCTTGTCCTCTTGAGACCCCAGGAGTCCGGGCGGGAAGAGATGGCAAA